CTCTTTGAGTTGTCAAGTGAATGTCTGGATGTCGTCCATTTATGCGACCTTTAATGTAACTCCTCGCTTATTCAGAACTGATGAAAGATATTTGATCAACTATGTAACCACATATAAATCATTCTAATCACACAAGTTTAATATGATTCAATGTGTATAATTGTGATGAACTGTGATGTTTTTGTTTAATGTGATATTTATACAAGTTAAATATGACACTTTAGATGGATTATTCGAGTTGATTTCACTTCAACTTGGTAATAGTTTATGAACGAACCAATCAGATTTAGGATGATAAGTTTTGGATTTTGGCGCGAAATTCATTCACCCATTTGGTTAAATAGAGTTTTGGCATTTTAGTTTATGTCAGTTCGTAATTAAATCCATAATCTTAACCATTAACTGTAAATCGTAATCTTTATTCTTCACATTGGTTTATAACCCTGATCCAGTCCTAGTTAGTTAGCAAATATTCTTATGGTCACCATAGCGTCATTCAAACGTCATTCATAAAGTATAGTTTCATTAATTTCTCATGTCAAACATAAGTTCACTTCAGCAACATGTCCAAAACCTTTAAATTGCCACAAAACATGCATTTTGTAAACTTTATATAGTCTAGATTCACTTGATATTGTTTTGTACTTGAATCTTTCCATTGATGTTTAGGACTGCGATTGATTATTCTTTTATTGGTATATGTACATACTATGCGTATTGCTTCGATATTGCCTTAATTCACAAGCTTTATAAGCAAAGATGAATAGTGACTAGCAGTGGAATCCAGTTTGACGCGCATTTCTTCCTATTTGGGACTTATCAGCTGGATATACCTGTATCCAAAACTTGTTAGTGTTCAATCTGGGACTCGAACCCAGCACCATTCGCTTCAAACGCCCTCTAGTTATTCCCTCAGCTACTGAATGTTAATCATAAGGCTCTGGATATGTTGCTGATGTGAAATTATGTCTGATATGCGAAATAAATGAGACTATAATCTATGAATAACGTTTAATCAATTCATAATATAGTTTATCCACCCATATTATCAGAGCTAACAAGCTCATTTCTGACATACTTTAGCTATATATACACTTCAGTTATTCCAAATTCAAACTATCTACTCTTCACAAAGTTTCTACATAGAAACTAGTTTTCTTTTCAGATTTCACGTAGACTGTTGATGATATTCTTTCTATTTTTTTCTTCTCAAGAAAACATAAAAATGCAAAAAAATTTTTTTGTTTTGGTTGACAAGTGACCGAGTAAAGAATTGTCGGCGTTTATTTTGTTTGTTTGTTTGTATCTATGTTGTTGTTGTTGTTGTTGTTGCTAAGAGGAACAGTTTTCTGGAAAAATTGTCATTGATATAAACACGACATCTTGTAATCAATTATGTAACATTATCATATGAAATGTAGTACAAAAATTTAAAAAAAAATCAAATTTCAATAGAGATATTGACATGATAAATTAATTTATTGCATTTTTATTGTTTATATTAAGATTTTTGATAATTCATGAGGCAATTTCAATAGTTGAGATCATGAATCAATTGAAGCTAGATCATTATGGAAAACCTGGAAGTAGTGGACGGCCGTTTCGTCCCATTGTGAGGTTCCTCAGCAGTGAGTATCCACGATCTTGCTTCGCAAGAAATGAGGCCAGGACATATCGGTCTCGAGCGCAAACGTTTAACCCTTAGACCACTGAGCCAGCCGGTATCCATTGGTGTAAATGTCTAACTTCAACTAATCCACGAAATTGTGCGACATATCCATCATTGTTTTCAATGAGTTTCCTATCTCACAACAGACCCGGTTGAACTCGACTGTTTATCACTTAAACTCCAGGAAATACTTCTTATTGTTTGCTTGAATCTTCTCATTAATGCTTAGGACTGTATTTGAACAGTTTATTATTGGTATATGTGTATCTTGTATGGATTGTCTCAATATTGAAGTGAATCACAAGCATTGTAAGCATAGATGGATAGTGGCTAACAATGGAATCTAGGACGCATGTTTCTTCCTAGTTGGGAGTCGTCAGTTAAATGTAATTGCTTCTCATAGTTGATATTCACTCCGGGATTCAAATCCAGTAAGTGGATAAATCGATGATGTTTGAAGTGAACGGTACTGGGTTTAAGTTTTTGAGTGAATATTAACAAGTCTGGTATTCAGGTACATTCATCTGAATAGTCCAAAATAGAACGAAACCCACATCCTAGATCCCAGTACCAGCCCCCACCCATCTTTGTTTATTGTAGAAGGTAGTATCAAGTCAATCCTTACAAGATTCACATATGCCAATAAATGACTGATCGATTACATTCCTAAACAAGAATGGGAATATTCAAGTAAGTAATTACGAATACGGACTAATTCAAGAGTGAATACTCTAAAACAATAATTGTATATTAATGATTAAATTCATTGAGAAATAAAACAAACAAACAAAGCAAATGAACTGTGAACATTTAACTATTAAATGTATTGAGGGAAACAAGTAACCAATTGGTTAAATTGTTATTAATCTAACCCAGATACTAACCATAGTTACTAACTTGTATAAACCATATAAGTAAACATACCATGTATAGACGCACACACACACACACATAAAACACATACACGCACATACACATAATAATCGAAGTTCTCATATAAGCATAAGCTAATCTCTTGTTAATATGAATAGAATCATTGTTTTGTAAAGAAAATGGTAGATTCAATTTGTTACCATTGTAAAATGATCTAAATGATTAAGGGAATAAATCTAGATCATAAAACAAACTGATCTATGTATTATTTATAGATGGAGTTTTTCCTTTTTGGCATCAATTAGATTGGTTGATGTTATCGACGAGTTCAGCGGCTTGATATTTAACTTCAATTTGGATTGTATGAATGTCGATTATTCTTGTATAGAATCATTGAGTTAAATCGTCTTAGTGAATATAACAGAATTAACTAAGCCAAATACAAGAATGAATTTCAAATACGTATCAATGATCTGAACAAACAAGCGGAGAAATGAAGTGAAGAGAGAAGAGAACGAAGTGAAATGATATGTAGTGGAGATGGCATGTCAGCCAACTCAATTTAATCAAGCGTGAACAGATATTTATAGTCAGATAAAAATAAATTACAATCATGTGACGAGTAAGATAGGAAATGCACACATATTCACTTATATGAAAGTAAGTCAAGGTTGACAAGCAAATAATTAACAATGTCGAAATGTTGCATGAACAGATAGTTTGTTCAGAAGCTAGAATAAGTTATGTGAACTCGACATGGGACTGGCCACTAAATATAGTGTAGAGCTAAGATTTCAATATCATACATAAGACTTGTTATATCTACAGTTAAGATTCGTGATATAACTAGTACTAATTGAGCATCTGAACTCTAGAACTCTCCAAATCGCAAAATGAACAGACAAAAGACGGTTGAGAAAGAATACTATTCCAAACAGTGTCAAATATGATATAAAGCTCTAAGGTATTTGTAGTTTTTAGTAAGAGCCAAATCATCATTATAGTCATTCAATCCGTATATAGTGATGTTTTAGCATTTGTCCAATAAAGAAGTAACATGTCGAGATTCTAGAATGTTCTTCTAAAAGATGATTGAATGAAATGTCTTCAAATCTTTCTCAGAATCTTAGAGCTTCCCTGAGTTCACTCGTCGGTCGTCCTCACAAGAATATTTAGTGAGACAATTAATGTTTTCATAAATCCAGACCATATAATCAGGTTAAGCAAATTTATATTAGAACTTCATAATATATTATTGCTTACTTACGCCTGTTAATCTTCGTGGTAAAGCACAGACCGCTCACCAGAATTCTCTATCCAAATCTATTCTGGACAAACCTTCCCAGTTCTTTCTAGCCGTTATTCAATCTTTTCATAGCTGCTTCCAATTCCAGAGTGGTCTTCGGTCTTCCTCTTTTCTGTTTCCTTTTAGGATTCCAAGTTAGGTGCTTGCTTTGCGATGCAGCTTGGTGGTTTATAAAATGTGTATCCTATCGAATTCCAACGTTTTGTCCCAATTTCTTCTTCAACAGGAAGCCAGTTTGTTCTCTCTCACAGTAGACTGTTTCCGATGGTAGCCGGCCAATAGATGTTGAATATTTTGTGTAGACAACTATTTATAAATATTTGCATCTTCTTGATGATTGCTATGGTAGTTCTCCATTTTTTTTATCACCGTACAGCGGAACCGTCTTGACGTTCGTATTGAAGATTGTGACTTTGATATTGGTTGATAGTTGTTTTGAGTAATTCAGTTGTATGAATGCGGTCCTTACTTTTCAAATTGTTACTTTACGTCAGCATCAGATTCTCCTTGTTGATCGATGATGCTACTAAGATACGTAAATCTTTCCACCTGTTCCAGAGTTTCTCCATCAAGTGTGATTGCGTTTGTATTCTCCATATCGTATAGAATATCTTGTTTTTATCCTTGTGTATGTTGAGACCTACTTATATAGGAAACTGGTGCTACATTAGTTGTCTTCGTTTACATTTGTTGATGTATATTGGTACAGAAGGTCCAACTACTTTCCAACTATTCACTATATTCCATGTATCCTCTCAGATATGGAGGTCTTTTCACAATCCAATCAATCATCAAAAGAAAGACAAATAGAAAGAGCAATCAACCTTAACTGACATAATAGTTGTTTATTATAAGACAGTCTTAAACTAACATAGAATACGTGTTCAGTGTCCCTTGTTTTGTAAGAAAACAGTTTATATTTAAAAATGATAATTAAGTTCATTTCAATATTTGAGATCATGAGTCAACTAAACCTAGATCACCATGAAAAAACTTAGAAGCACTGGACGGCCGTTTCGTCCTATGGTGAGTCTCCTCAGACACAAGACTAATTGATCCTCAGTTCGAATCTTGCGTGGGGGGGGGGATCATGAATTTATATCTTTCACTCTCCTTCCCACATTCTCTTTCTTTTTTTTCTTGTTCTTATAGTTCCAGACAATGATTCTACTCATAAATCAAGAATAGATAGTAGACGTTCAACTTTAAGCTCTATATCATCAACATGTTTTCCATTGAATTTTCGTCATTTAAAAAGAAAATCATGTTTTGATGAAAATATTAAATTTAATGAATTAAAAAATGATAATAAAGAAGATTATAATTGTACTATGGGATATCCGACAATTCATCAAACATCTAGTCTTCAAAAGATCAATCAACCAATGAATAATAAGGATGATGATGATGATGATGACGATGCTGCTGCTGCTGACGATGATGATGATGACAAGTTAACTTATAGGAATCAAACCAATTCCATGTTAATACCTACTTGTATAGTGAATTATGATTCAGATGAGAAAATTTGTACAAATCATCAAATTGTAAGTTGTTTCTTTTAATCATAAATCTGATATATAAAATCTATTTTATTTATATTATGGATTGATTTCACTAAATCATTGAATAGCTGGTTAATCTTGGTATGGGACCTTCTAGGATTACAAACTTATAAGCAAAGATGGATAGTAGCTAGCATTGTAATCCAGTTTAGCTACTGTCATATCGATTCAATGACATACGACGGCGAAACTCTGGAAGATATGGAATCTTTCATGTATATGGGAAGCATCATCGATGAACAAGGAAGGTCAGATGCAGACGTAAAGGCAAGGGCCGCATTCCTACAATTGAAGAACATATGGAACTCAAAACAACTATCAACCTATATCAAAGTCACAATCTTCAATACGAACGACAAGACATTTCCACTGTATGGAGCTGAAACATAGAAAACTACTACAACCATCATCAAGAAGGTGCAAGTACTTACAAATAGTTGTCTACACAAGATACTCAACATCCATTGACCGGATAACTGTGGGAGAGAAATAACCAACTTACAGCTCAAGAGGAAATTAGGAGAAGATGATGTAAATGGATAGGATATACATTTCGGAAATCACCAAACTGCATCACGAGGAAAACACTAACTTGGAATCCTGAAGGGAAGCGGAAAAGTGGAGGGCAAAATAATACATTACGTCTGGAAATAGAAGCAGATATGAAAAGGATGAATGACAACTGGAAGAAGCTGCAAAGGATTGTTGAGGACAGGGTTGGATGGAGAGTGCTGATGGGTGGCCTATGCTCCTCCACGAGGACTAACAAGCGTAAGTATGCAAGTAAGTAAGGATTACGATCTTATGAGCAAGAATGTATAGTAGCTAGCAGGGAAATCTAGGATACGCGTTTCGTCATCAGATCGACGTAACTGCATCTCAGAGTTGATGTACCTTTTGGGAATCGAACCTCGTACTGTTCGCCTCAAACACCATCGCGTTATCCACTTAGCTACTGAGGACGAAATCGTCGTCCACTGCTTCAAGATTTTCCATAATGGTCTAACTTTAATTTATTCATGATCTCAACGATTAAAGTTACTAGTTAGTCTATGTCACAGAAAACTCTAATTGTCATGATTCTTCTTTTAAAAACAATCTTATTTATGAAGGTTAACACTCTTCAATTGTATAACATCAAAGATGCATTTAACCTAATCAAGGGAAATAATTTAATTTCCCATATCACTTTTTAAGGTCAAGTGAAATATCTCAATTAGTTGACTGAGATTGATACACCTTAATACATTATCACAACTAATATAATTACATTTCCAGGTTTATCATAAAACAGATTACATTGAGTCAATCAAATAGATAGACGTTTCTTTTTCTTCTTTGTACTTCATTGTTTGTTTGATCTATAAACTGATTACATAGCTTTGTCGTAAATATTCACTAGTTCTAGTTAAAGTGTTTTTAGCGAGTTAGTTTAATACGTGATGGGGTCGTTAACACTATGCCCGACCCTCCTTCTTTATCCAGGCTCGACACCGGCAGTAGCCCCAAAGGGGCTCCAGGCAGAATTGACAATAATTAATAATATTATTAAAAAGTTTTTTATTGAACACAATGTATTTAAATAATCAATAAAACGGGTTTGATTTATCCCGTTGTTGATATTCTTGAGTGAGTATTTGTCAGTCTTGATTGAGCATATGTACATCGTGTGTGAATTGCCTTTATGGAAAAGATTGACCGTAGCTAGCAATGGAAACTATACCAAATATTTCGCGAGGCGGAATCGCGGATGTGCATTGTTGAAGAGTCCAGCGGTAGGACGAAACGGCTGTCCAGTGCTTCCAGATTTTTCATGGTGGTCTAGCTTCAACTTACTCATGATCTCAACTATTAAAATTAGTATAAAATCCACAAAACCCTCTTCTGATACTGAATATTTACGTTTGGAAATAGTTAATTCAATTGTTTACACAACTTACTTACCCAATGAAAATTCCTGGCTTAAATATTTAAGTAAAATTAAGTAGGCAAAGATGTATAGTGGCTAGTAATGGAATCCAACATTCAAGTTTCGTTCTATTTAGGACGATAGATGTAAAGCAACACTAAGTGAATTTGAAATTAATTAGCTTTACATATATACTAGTTATATAATATACTCTTGTAAGTCAGGGTAATTTTACATTGGTATTCATGAGAACCAGTTATTGTCCAGACTTTCATGTGACAACCCAATGAGTACAACTCAATCCCGCTTCACAGAAGAACTATACACTGTATAGGCTTAAATGCTACGATCTGAATAGTAAAGCTCAATCCTGTGGCGCAACTACACAGGTACCAAGTACCCTAGTAGACCATTACCATCATTCATATACACATTCACATAACATGTATAATTATTTCGATCATTGATCGCGCAAATCAATTATGCACAGCACAAATAGGCTAATGTTCACCTATTCTGATTACACGATACTCAAATTCATTAATGTTAGCAATGAAGATATGCCTCACAATATTCCAATGACTACAACTCTTGAGAACACCGAAGAGTAATCACCAGTATGAATGGAATCAGTTAACCAGCAAACCAAATTTGCATATGAACATTCGGCGAAACGTGGCAAAGTAATGCCGAACCATCTACAATAAGATTGAGGAACCTCCATTGTGATATAAGACCTTCACCTCTATGTAGCCATAAAGCTTATACTGCATACAACACATATTTAGCGTAGTAAAAGAAGTAGCCCAGCCTGAATCGTTAGAACTTGAAGAATGCTTAAAATCCATTGTCTTTTGTTGGAATACTATTCGTGAAAAGCAGAAAAGAAATGCTCAATTGTATAATTACAATCAGAGATGAGTTTTGTGGATATGATAGTAATTTAATAATTGAATTCATGAGTCAATTGAAGCTAGACCACCATGGAAAACCTGGAAGCACTAGACCTCTGTTTCGACCTATTATGGGACTCCTCAGCAGTGCACATCTACTATCCCGCCTCGTGAGACTTGAACCCAGATCCTACTGGTTTCACGCGTGAACGCTTAACCTCTAGACCACTATACAATTTACGACTACATGTTCTCATGAATTCGTATTCATCATATCACAAACAATTAGATTGTATAAAATCATTGTCATTCCCATTTTTAGTATAATTTGTGATTAACAATATTGTATAATCATCATTTACCAATATCATCGATATATAGAATAGTAGGTATTGTGTCTATGAACATAATATGGGTTTAGAGCTGTCCATGGTAGAAACCTGAATACTCCCCATAGCTTTCATCTATATTTAGATTCATCAAGATATTTATCTTCGTAAAACAACCTAACTTAATCAATGATCATTTGTTTGACATGCTTGTGAATGGTTCTCCATGTATTCCTCAACTTATTGGACACATTAAAGTTATACATTCCCATGAGTAAAACAAACAATTCATGAATAACATCATGTTAACTAATGTAAATGCTGATAACCGCGATTATATGTAATTAGATCTATGTAAGAAGCAGATTGAACTAAATTACAGATATATATGTGATTACAACGAATGTAAACTACTTATTGATAGTTATCATGAGATACCTATTTACCTCAATTCACATACAAATGCACACAGCCACACACACACAGACACAGGAACATTATTGATCATATGATTACATAATACAACTATTCATGGAACATAATAACACAGAAATATTAACATAAATAATGGAAAGTGTATTGGTTCGAGAATTTATTGTTGTCAGGCATTGAATAACATTGACATATCATGTTTGGATATTGTTGATGTTAATTGTATAGTGGAGAAATATGTTGTACAAGTTGGTGATTGTCAGTAAACTGTGTGTGCATGTGTGTGTGTGTGTGAATAAAGCTGACGACGTTAGTGTTCTACATGATATTCGAACATGTGTGTGAACTAATGTGACAGTGAGAGATGCTACTCTATTTGTACTACAGTCATCGAGAACTGTTTATGATAGTATTGTTGAAGTTTCATGTAACTGACTGACTGAGTGACTGATTTTAATTATACAGAATTGGTATATGAGAAGACAGTGGACAAGTATTTGAGTGTACTGTTGAGGAGTGCGCATCATCGACTCTTTCTGCAATCGGACTTAGGAATTAGACTTCTCAAATGTATAGTAATTCAGCATCCAGTTTCCATCAATTCACAATGTTGCTCAACCACTTTGTATGATTGTGTATAGTGAAGGTGTCATATTGGAGAAGAAATCAGATATCCAATACTGTCTCGTGTTCTCGACGGTGTATTGCATAAGATCATTCGTCGATGAAAATTGACTATTTGATTAAGTACCTAACATGAGTTTTTATAAGAAACTACTCAGGTAATAAGTTGTTTCCCAAGTAATTCACATCTGCAACATGAACTCATGAAATGTCTCAGTTGTTTGACGAAACAGAACAGTTTTTCCAAGAAATCATCACAATACTCATGTTTTAGAGTGCTAAAGTACCTAAGATAAATGTTATGGATGTTTTCCTTGTAAAATTTGATGTAAGTTTTAGGTATACTGATTAAGATTTCTTGTTATGAAGTATACAACCAGTTGGCACATTGTGTGTCATCAATCTCCAAACGTCTGAAATGTGGTTTGAAATGATGTTGCATAATGTCAGTTGGAAATGTTTCCATTAATCTTCACCGACTGAGAGTTAGCCGCCAAAAGAGAGGTCAATCAATTCAACTCAAAAGTGAATATCCAGCTTACTGACTAGTCTCATTTATAACACAATAGAAATCTAGAGTTAATTGTTCATTACCGGTAATCGTTGAACATTTAGTTATGTTTCTGCTTTAGTCTTATTGACTGGAAAATATTTCAATTGTGACCTAATTGCTGATTAGTGTGAACTAATGTCTTGATGGAAGTCATTGCATATCTGTCATACACTCAGTAGATTACGACAAACATACAATATAGATCATTAATGGTCAATTCATATGGTTTATTTATGTATATT